TATCCCCTGTGTGCCTTGTCGACTCAGTTGTATGCTATACGAAGTTATTACGTTTATGTAACGCGTATCAATTGTGTTCGATCCTCATAGAATCAGCTGGGGAAGCATCGTTGGTATAATGAAGCGACATGTTAAATATCTGATATGGAATTACATTTGGCTGGAAGAAGAGGACAATAAGACCTGTTCGACATTTACCTAAATTTCCATATGCGTGGATTCGGTGTAGTTTGTAATATCATATAATAGCGATTGAGAAAGGCTAAATAAGCCGAAACTAGTCTCGCGTTATTTTTTATTTTAATTTTATTTAAATGACTTATTAAAGAATTTTTATTAATTGACACTCTTTGTTTTATGCTCGTCTTTGGCTCATTGTCCTGTCTTTTTTATTGTTTATATATAACGAGCTGGTAATTTATTTAGTATATTTATATTTCAAAAACTATATGAGACCGTCGATTATGTTATAAGAAAAAGTTAATAAGTAACCTCACCTTTATAATGTACATCAAGATTGAGATTATTAGTGTCCGTTAATGTATAAATTGTGTTTTTTTTTATGATTAGATACAATAATTATTTATGTCAGAGAACGAAGAGGCATGGCTAACTTTTCCATAATAATGTGATTACTATTAACTTACTTTTACTTGGAAAAATACTTTTAGAATTATGAGAAAATTATTTGAAATTATTAGAAAAATGTTCACGAGTCCAATGTTTAATTTTAAGCAAAAATCTAATATTATATACTATATTTTACGTATAATAGTTGTTTCACTAGTTCTAAGTTAATAGAATTTTTTTCATATTTTCCTGTCTGGGATAGGGTGTCTTACATATTCGATCACTGAAGCTTTAAGTTATGATTGTGTTTTTAAAGACGGATGGTAATAGACATGCACGCAGTTTACGAAATCTGAAATTTAAAGATTTAAACATGAAAAATATTATTGCGTAATCAGATCTAGTCTCGGCCGAATTTGCTTCTTTCTCTCTTATTGTTATTTGTTATATATATATCTTGTTATTTGTTATATACAATCTTGTTTAAAATTATTTTTTTTTAAGTTTTGTTTTGTTGGCTTAATGTTGCACGCGCAAATATTAAATCTTTTAATTTAACATACAATCTTTTTCAATAATTTGTAAAATTAGTTTGTTATATTCTTATATTTTTTAGAGAAAATGTTTTATTTGATTCTATTATATTTCTGTTATATCAAAAATCATATTACCGTGAAGATGGATATTGATTGACCACGTTACGATTGGACATAAGTCAAATACAGCATTTACAGTGGTAGAAAAACTCTAGGCCGGTCGCTGTGAGTGAATGTGACCAGTTCCAATGTGGTCAGTCAGGATCTTCCCAAAAGTTATATATATATACTTTTTTGTTCTTTCACATACATTTTTATAACAATAATTCACTCATAATAGAGTTTCTTACAAAACTATTTAATTTGATATTATGTTTCATAGATCTATCTCTTTTATGTTTATAAGATAAAAAGGAATGATGTTGGAATATCTTTTTTATACGAATAAATATCAATTTCTTGTTCTGTGTACCTTGTATTATATGTGATTCTTATTGTGAAGTAAAACTTATACATATAAAAACAAACATAATTAAGTATAATTTGGTACAGATTCTAATGGAACTGAAGGAATGCAATACCTGGGAAGAGAGATATAATATTTTTGCTAAGCAATTTTTGGCCGTGAACACGGTACTTTCACCTGCAAATTTAAAGATGCTGTGTTTAACATTTTATAAACACCTATCCGCTATTCGTCAATATGATCCTTCTACGTTGCTGCCTATTAAATCTCCTATAATATTGCTAAAACCTACAAACACCATGCACATATCCAAGATTGAAGAGGATTATGGTTTGCAGAAGGTATTTCAAAGAAATTGCGCTAATCTATACATTTGATAAATTAAATTTAACAATACAATTTAACAGTTTGTTAATAAAGTATGTAATTATTTAAGATAACTGAAAATGTGGTGAAAGTACATTGCATCGAGGGTACGCATACGACGATCTTGAAAAACAAGGAAGTGATAGCTGCAATTAACGGAGATCCACCATTTATGATTTAATGTTTTTCTATAATTTAAAAATTACAATTACAAATTCAAATTTAAATTGTAAATAATTATAATCTAATTTAATTTTGCAATTGTAATTTTTTCTATATAATCTTTGTTTTAATATAAATATCAAAACTGAAAATCTGGAATGTTTATAACGTGAATTATAGATTTTCAGTAATGACAGGGTACATTGGAATATAAATAAGATGAAATTTAAGGCGTTGAAGGTGCAGAAGAGTGGGTTAATCTTCAAAATTGTTTCATGCGGAGCCTCGGCCGCGTGATCTTCGGCGAACGCGCAACTTCCTGTTATTTGGTATTTTGTTGTTTTCGATTTTGTCAAGTCAGAGGCATCCGAATTCCTTTCAGGGCCTCGACAGTTCAATCGAAGTCGTCGTCGCATCGACTTCGCCGTGCCGTACGCCGACCGTACGCCCGCGCATCAAAACATCGCAGAGCCGTGTGCCGACCACACGCCTGCGACCTTAAGCAATCAATTACACTAACGCGCTTTTCTTTATTCCCTCTTCCTTCGTTTGTAAGACTTATCTGTGAGATATTAAACGTGTGTTGTTGAGAAAAATTTGGAGTTCGCTCAGTCTCCCGATCGCAAAAATCCAGCATCCCGCCAACGCGTCGTGAACAAAAATTAATAAAACAAATTAGGAATAGGGGGAAGTGCACAATGCCTAAATCATTTTTTTTACAACTTTTAACTAATCAACAAATATATTTTAAATATTTCGTAATATTCATATTTTAATAATTATACATTATATAATTAATTGTAAAAACATTTAATAATATTAAATGCTTGTTATAAAATAAATTGCTTAATTATACAATTTTACCATAATAAAAAATTTCGTAATATGAAAATACAACCTAAAAACACTGATAATCTAAGAGACAGATCAGTAAAATGTAACGATAATGCGATCTAGTTGCACAGTCAGTTCGAGGAATCCCGACTAAAGCAACTTATATAAGCCTGAGGCTGACCGATCAGTGTCGAAATAATGAAGGAAACTCCTGACAATTACGTAAGACGATAATGTTAAAAATGGGAGGAATGATGCAGTAGCGTAGTTAGTCTAAAATTAAAATTACATAGCCACCAATGGTAACGTCAAAAGTCAAATTCAAATATGAATTGAATTAAACAACAAGCCAGTGTAAAGTGTAGTGTTCGAATTTTAGTCGCAAATATACAGGGTGATTCAAAATAACCCGTTGTCCTTGTAAAGACGTATTCTTGATTCAATTCTAAGACGATTTTTCCTTTACAAAAATTTTGTCCAAAGCTTATAGTTTTCAAATTGTAACAAGAAATAATTAAGCAATGCCGACATTTGCATTCTAAGTAATAACTCCGAAACGACTAAACGGTTTTGAAAACGTTTTTACAGGATTGAAATAGCAATAAAATGTAAACGCGCGAATTATATATTTGTAGTAAAAACGAAAAAATATGAAAAAATTATCTTTTTTTCTTGTCGTACAACTATTATAACCTCTCACCTGATGTAAACATTTCATTGGTACAAAAGTTCTGTAGCTCATATGTACAAAAAAAGTAATTCGCGCGCATCGGATTACTTGCACGAATAATACAAGACCTTTTGAGCTACAATTGAAAGCGTAGAAAAACAATTATCGCTTAGAATGCAATTTGTGGTAATTCGTACGTTCGGCTGAGGAAAGACAGCAAAAATTATGTTTGGCAGTAGTGCCGGATTTTCAAGAGATGGCATTTCAATAAGTTAGATAAGGACATTCCACGTGTTTGAATGAGACATAAGATATTGTAAGAAGTTCATTTAGAGATACCACTGACACTGAAGAGTCTGCTTTATCGACCTCGTACAAATTTTTCCGACCTTCCGCATCGCCTTAACGAATTACGGGCCGCGTATGGAAGGTAAACAGGTGCGGCGCAACTTATTGTCCGCCGGCAGGCGGTACGCGGGACCGTCGCGTCAATCAGCTGACTACACGCGCGCATGAACATACGTTTACTTTCTCCCTCTCTCTCTCTCTTTTTTACACACACGCGCGCACGCTCGCTCGTACGCTTGCACGCACGCACACACGCACGCACGCACAAAACCTTACCTTTTAAAGATTTGTCGACTTCTGTAACTTCTCGAAAAAGATGAATTACCATTTCGATCTAATAAGCAAAAAACGTAAATATAAATTCTGTTGATAGAAGGAGAGCAATCTGTTCTCAGTTACGTTAGCAGGCTCTGCCGGCTAAGTTATTTTAATCTTTAAACCACTGTATCGGTTTCACAGACCGTTATTGAAGCTTTACTTGTCAACAGTTTTCTTAATATTCACAAGAGACACTCTCAACTTATAGTAGTACCTTTATGCCATCTGTTCCTACGAAACGTTGTGATAGTCTTATTGTCATTCGCTGAAAACGTGTAAAATATAAAATGTTTGAAAAATTGTAGCGGTTTCACAGAGCAGTGTTATGTTTGCGTTACTTTTTTGCAGTATTGAGAATGTATGTATTTCTTAATCTACATCTTATTTACAGATACTAGAACAACAGAAGGCGGCGCGGGACGTATCCCGTTTGGACACATAACCATTGGACACGACTCGATTGGACACGCACGATTGGACACGCACGATTGGACACAATACGATTGGATACCGCACGATTGGACACCGTACGATTGCACACCGCACGTTTGGACACCATACGATTGGACACCGCACGATTGGACACATATTATAAAATTACGTTTTATTAAACACTACATTATTCCACATTGCATTATTGGATATGCATTATTGGACACGCATTATTGGACACCGCATTATAGGACACGCATTATTGGACACTATATTATTGAACACCGCATTATTGGACACCGCATTATTGGACACGCATTATTGGACACTGTATTATTGGACACGCATTATTGGACACCGCATTATTGGACACCGCATTATTGGACACCGCATTATTGGACACGCATTATTGGACACGCATTATTGGACACCGCATTATTGGACACCGCATTATTGGACACCGCATTATTGGACACCGCATTATTGGACACCGCATTATTGGACACCGCATTATTGGACACCGCATTATTGGACACCGCATTATTGGACACCGCATTATTGGACACCGCATTATTGGACACTATATTATTGTACTGTCTCGCATTATTGAACACTGAATTAAAATCTGCCTATAATGAAAAGTTTTAAGGCGTAAATGTATGCTGTGACATATAATATTATCGGCTAGAAGTTCGCAACAGTCGCTGAAGAAGCGCTTGCATAAGCTGTACGCCATTACCAAAAAAGTACCATTATATAAATTTTAGAGATTTAATTTTCCTTGAAATATGTTGTTAAATAAGAAAATAAAGAGACACGTATTATTTTATACGTGCAGATATTTGCTTTGAAAGAGAAAAACTGTTTCTTCTGTAAGGGATATTTTCTCTAAACATGAGATTCCGCAAGTATAAAAATTTACGTATTCCTTAAATTTTTGTATGTTACAACATACTTCACAGACTATAGAGAATAAAATTGGTTCCTGACAGTTGTAACAAATGTCTTGTAAGAAGTGAAATGTTCTTTCTCATAACTATTATTAATCATTATTATACTCTTTTCTTTTTTAAAATTATTAATTCTTTTAGACAGATACGATTAAGCTTATCACTTCTTTTGCAAAGTGTATAATATTACAAACGTGTTAGAAAGTGGGCTGTTAGGAGTCGGCGCGGTAAGTAATGCGCAGATATATATATATATATATATATATACAGGGTGTCCCGTAACGCTTAATTAATATTTCAAGGCGTGAAAGAGTGTTACACCGTGGGTGGGGTGTAACGTGGGAAGGACTCGGTTTGGGTGG